GCGAAAAATAACAGATGTTGCCAGGGAGTTCGACATCGCTCACAGTGTTGTTTCACGGCCGTGGAAGTCATTTAAAACTACTGGAATGTGTAGTAGACGGCACGGGGGAGGTCGTGTTAGAAGTACGACGCCTGCAGAAGACAGATATATCGTCCTATCAGCAAAAAGTAACAGGCGCGCCACAGCTCAGTAGGTGGCAAATCAGTTTATTGCTGCCTCAGGAAAGCAGATCTCCCGAAAAACTGTTGCCAGACGTTTGAGGGGAGGAGGACTATACGCACGCAGACCTGTTGTGTGTGTCCCATTGACCAGGCAGCACCGTACTGCCCGTTTGCAATGGTGTCGTGAGCATCACAATTGGACTGAACAGGACTGGGCATGCGTGCTATTCTCAGATGAGAGTAGGTTCAGTCTATCATCGGATTGTAGACGCCAACTGATCTGGCGCGAGAGTGGTATTGCTAATCGTCCAGAATATATCCAGGAAAAGGACCGATATCCGACATGCAGTATCATGGTGTGGGCCGGCATCATGATCAATGGCCGCACGCGCCTACATGTGGTTGCGAATGGGACTATGACGGGTCGACGATACATTGATGAAGATCTACTTCCTCATGTTCGTCTTTTCCGTGGTGCTGTCGGTGATAAATTTGTTTTTATGGACGACAATGCAACACGTCATCGAACACTCGCTGTTCAGGATTGTCTAGACAGCGAGGGTATTCAACGTCTCGTATGGCCAGCGCATTCTTCAGATCTAAACCCCATTGAAAATGTGTGGGATGCTTTGGGGAGGCAAGTTGCTGGTGGAAACTATCCTCCGACAAACAAGAACACCCTCATCCGTGCACTCACAGAGGAATGGGATAAATTACCTCAACAGCTGCTGGATAATGTTGTGCAAAGTATGGTACGACGTGTGGAATGTTGCATCACAATCCACGGTGGACATATCCCGTACTGATACCTTTCTTTAAGGTGCCTGCTGACTTTTAGATGCATTGTTCCATTTCTCCGTACGCAGATCAAATGAACATTTTTTTTTCTTTCAGATGTTTCACAGCTTTTGTACTTTCCAGAACAATAAATATTCTTTATTCTAATGTCTGAACAGTGTGGCAACTATATTTTATCCTACTAGGCCTCATGTCTCGCTTAATGTTATCCTACAAAGCAATTTGTGATCCGTCCTTAGCAATTGTCCAGCAGTGTATAAAGGCAGGGAAAGGTTGGCTGTGCTTAAAAATATGTTTAGCCTTAGTCTTAGTTCCTAAGACTAACTTTTGTGTATATATTATTGTGGCCATTCAACTTTGATCTTAATTATTGTTTTATACTTTCTATATACAGTTTAGCTTTAAGATAGGCTTAAGACAATTCAGTATTTGATTAATGATTACATATACATGGTGACCCCGAATACTATGTGCAAACTTGGAGGGGAGGAGGAGGACATTGTGCGGAGCCATAATTTCATAGGAAAGCATGAACGGAAAGTGATAGGTGACTCTGTACGTGAGATCGCAAGGTCGGCACATGTGATTTCCTTATTTCAGATATGGACAGAGAGTGTTTAACATGAATCGTTATACGAACGCCGAGTTGGCGGATTCTCACTTCATCTACGGTCTAGCCAACGAAAATGGACGTGCTTCGGTTCGGGTTGTAAAGGGAAAGATAACCAACATGGTGGCAATCGAATCATTAAACTTTCACTTGGGTACATCAGAACATGGATCTTTCAGAGCCAGGATTGACGACACACCCGTCAATTTTGAAATAGATCTGGAGGCACGAATATCCATCGCTGCTGCTACGATCCGTGAAACTCCCGGTATTTTCGAACATGTCCGCCAATCCATGTCGCGTCGGCGTCGTGTGTGCATACATGTCATTAAAACACCTTCTATGAAGCTTTAATGTCATACTTTTAATTTATTACTTTTTTTTGTTTTTGTAGTAAAGCATTTTACACTACATTCTGTATTGTAGCCTTACTGCCTTTGTGTCTCTTTATCTCGTCAGGGCTACGTTCCCGCCCATTCTTTCCGATGTAATTATGGTTCCTCAGGATGTTCTACATCTCCCCTCCAAGTTTGTACACGACATTTGGGAATACGCTATATGTATGTGTTTGATGCATATTTTAGCTGAATATATAATTTAAATCCACAAATAAAACTAAATCATTTAATTGTGTTATTTAAATTTATTACTTTCAAGGTAGAGATTTCATTCGCTTGTGGTCTGAATTCAGATATGGTATATTTCCGGAAGGAGGTTTTGCAGAAGATGAAAAGTATCCTGCAGCGTACCGAATGCCTAATGAAGAAGTGGACAGAGCAACAGAATGTAAAACTGAGCCAAAAGGGTAAGGGAAAATTATTATGCACTTATTTTTGTAAGTATTAATATGAATCCACATGTTAACCCAGAACTATAGGAATTGCAATATCGGATCAAATGTTTAATACCGGTATTCGGTATTTTTAGATATTAATGCCAGGATTCTGGTTTTAGTACCGGTAGTAGAAATTTTAGAAAAATAAAGAAAGCACGAGTGTTTCTTTGTTTTATTTGCCAATTTTATTAGAGAGTGCAAATATCTCCCCCCCCCAAATAATCCAAAATCCCGATGGCTTGGTCTTAGAAACTACGCTGAAATTTGGATCTTCATCGTAATTAGATTCTTTCCTCTGTAACAAATTTGCATAATGTTTCGTTTTTAAATGTATATGGAATCCGCTTGTACTCCCTTCCTTCACTTTAATATCTCTTGAACATTTTTTACATCGTGTGCCACCATATGCTTTTCATCTATAAATAATGAAACCAAACCAAAATATTAAGAGATATTTTGTGTTCTTTAAAGTTATTCTTATTCATTATTTCCTTATTTATGAGGATATATATAATGAATCTGGAAAATATTTTGAACCCTAAAGTATAATAAGCAAACACAATGTGAATAATTAACTCCTCAATTAAAAAAAATATCGAAATATTACGCACTTTCTTCACAACTACAACCTTTTTTCCAGATACGAATATCAGACTACGAATCCTGCGCGTGTGCAGAATCGCCTTGAGGTGTAATAAGATATTTTTGCCACGCCTTCTTGGATGATTCACACATTGTATCACTTCACTTGATTATACGATGCAACTTTGTATTCACAGTCTAATTAATTTCGCCCATTAAGGAGACATAAAAGCAAAAACACATACTATTTTGCAATGTTGCCGATCCTTGAACATATAGTAGAGACAATTTTCAAAATTTCTCGTAAATATTGCAAAAACTTTATTTAATCTTGTGAATACCGGTATTACAAAATTGAACAAATGGCTCAAAATACTGGTATTCGGTATACCGGTATTGCAATCTCTACTCAGAACTCACACACAGAATAAAAATTTCTATTTATTTTCAAGTTTTTTTTTTTTGTTTGGGCCTCAACGTGTCACTTGCGCAAGGAGAAAAATAATTCTTGCCCTCAAATCTTGTCCCTGATTTGAGTCGTCCTCCATGTTATCAACCGTTATTCATGAACCGTGTATGGAATATAATGATATGCTTTTTAAGTAGCATACACACACCACAGACATTGTTAACTTATGCATACTGGGATTTATTAGAGATTTTTTTTCTCTAATTATTATATTCATGCTTATTCAACTATTTTTGTCGCTTTGTATCTTTTTTTTAAATTGTATATTAGTTCTTAAAATTTTGATCACTTTTTTTGTTTAATTTAGTAGTTTTTAGAATTTCTGGGGAAAAAATCTTTTTAATTATTAGCATTAAATAATATTCATGTCTTTTTTCTTCAAAAGAAAAACTAATCAAGAATCACGACAATAATGTTTTACTATAATCATTGCTGAGAAGAATTCATAATTTTGTATGCGTAGGATTTGTGAAGTTGTGTGTGTGATTTTAATTTATTTTCATATTAAATGGGATTATAGTTATTTTAAAGCATTTAAGACCCTTTTTTCAAGTTCATTTGAACAGTTAATAAATGTTTTTTTTATCAATTTTTAGTCATAACCTTACGCTTCATCCATTATATTGACCCTCTTATTACTCTATTTCAATTCCTACAATTAGTTCACACTCTGCTTATATATATATATATATATATATATTATTCAAATTTTCAATCATTAATAAAATATACTTTCTATTCATCCATTCAAGTTCAAATACCTTTTTTAAAACTTCTAATGGATGACACTTGATTTTAATACAGTTTTTTCAAATATTAGTTCATTAATTAAATTTAAAAAATTAATAAATAGTATCAAACAAAAATAATAGTCCAATAGTTTATATAAAAAGGCGTGGGAATCCTCCTGGATTCCACCCTGGACACCAAGATTGAATTGAGGCAAAGAACGACCAGACGACATTTTTACAATAGCAAATTATACTTATTCACTTGAATCAATTATCAACCATCTGATTACAAAGATGTCTACGTCAATGTGATTGAACCTTACTATTAATTAAATCACGAAATATGATACTTATCAAATATTAAACTCAATATCGAACGGGACTACCGGAATAAGAGGACCGAGAGATACACGCAATGTGAACTACTAGCATTCATTAACTTTCCACAAGCTTTATTATATATTTACTCTTATGATCCGATAATCTAAATTTAAATCTCTCCTGCCTTTTACTTCTTCACTTTCCAGGCGGATCAAACCTTTCAATTGTAGATCGCTGCCTAATAATCAGCGAGACGCTAATCGCACAATCAAATTGAAACTTCCTAGAACTCCGTCAACCTGTCTCTTGGCGTAATAGCCTCTACTGCTAACTTACAACACTCTCCTTAAATACTTTGACTAATTTGCATATCCCGGTTTCTTCTTTTAGAGTTGGTTTGAAATATACGCGAATTTACAATCCCCAAAGACGCCCAAGAGTATTAGTGATAAAGTGCCGTACAAATCCGTCACAAAAGAAAATCGTTCGTTGTGTCCCTGTAGCGCAATGGGTACCGCGTTGCACGCCTAATTCAAAAGTTGTGGGTTCGAATCCCTCCTGGGATGACCTAATTTCTGAGATTGTGATTTCTTTATTACTATAAAATTTTATAAAAAAAATTAAATTTAATGAATGAATGAATAGTAACAAACAAAAAAATAGTCCAACGCAATATACAGAAAGGAAAATGGAAAAAATTGCGAGGCCAATCGCTTTTTATTTTGTCACTTAAAATTGCGATTTTGTCATATGTATATACATATTTATATTCGTTGTAACTATTTAATAAAAAGTAATTAAAATAAAATTTTTCTTTGTTGACCTAAGTAGCAATTGTCTTAAGAGGAGTAGGAAACCTCTCTACTGACAATGTTAAATTGGCTGTTTTCGATGTACGTTTTCTCAAAATCTGTTATATGTGCATGTTTGAAATTTTTCATACAATTAGGGTACACCTTTCCCATTATACTGAAATGAGCTTTTAGCTATACTTTTGAATTTTTTCGTAATTTATAAAATATTTTATAAAACATAGTGAAATTTGACCCATTTTTCACATAAAAAAATTTGTAAAAAGTAAATTTTTGAGTTTTTTACAAAAATTTCGTTTCAGTATATATTAGCCATCATTATAAATGTATAACGTATCAAGTTTATTAGCCGCCCAATCGCTCACGTGTTACAGTCGTTGTTCCACTTTCACGGTTTTCATTGAGACATTCTCTTAATATTATTGGTTGAAATTGTGTTTGTCCTTAGTGTTGACATAAATAGATCAGTTAAACCCTGTTGAGTGTTTCTTCCCTTCCCCTCTCACATCTAGGTGCGCGGGCCTCTTACACCTGTAAAGTCTAATAAGGGTCTGGACCTTTCCTGTCGAAATTCGCTACTAACAAGAAAAATCCTTTTTTTTCTGTTCTGGATAGAAAGGATATCATTTGAAAAAAAGAAGTCCAATTTTTCTAATATAAGCTACTAAAAAGAATTTTCGACTGTTGAAATAATTCATTAAATAGAGGTTTTTGCTTTATTTTTATCTTGGAGAAAGAAAAATTCGTTAAATCGCCAAATTAGTTAAATGGGTCCGACTGTATTTGTTCTTTCAATATTTCCTCTTCTTCATTATAAAATAAAATATTTATATGAAATCTTGAAACATATTGCTTCAAATTTAATTATTTAATTTTTATTGATGGTTAAATTAGCTTAAACCATCGAATAAGTTAGTTTCAGCAATTTGTAACAAAAGAATGGCACTCTACTTACAAAAACGCAATAAAAGTATCAAAATTATTATCTTTGAAAAGAATATGATTCTTAGTAGTTTATTACATTTTTTTATTTACTGTGAACGGTCCATTGAAATGAAATTCATAATAAAACCGCAAAAATATTTTTGGTAATAATGGACTCGAAAAGCGTAGTCATAAGAGGAAAAATTATCCAAAGAATACTCATATATCAAGCTTAAACTAATGTGAAATTGATAAAAGTTCGAAATCAGTTTTTGTTTCGCCATTTAATGATTCAGGAACTATATAAAGACTAATTTTTTTAATGATTATTGATAAAGTTAACAAATTTTTAATTTTCCAATGAAATAATTTATAACTAGTTTCGAATTAATTCTGTTATAACAATAATATCAGAATAATAATGCTATTTGGATAAAAAAAAGTAACATAAAAGAAAAAAATTAAGTCAATTCCTACTTAGGCCAACAAAGAGAAACATTTTATTTTAGTTACTTTTTATCAAATAATTACAATTAATATAAATATGTATATACATATGACAGGATCACATTATTAAATGGTAAAATAGAAAGTGATTTTCCTTTCTACATATGGGTTTGTACTATTATTTTTGTTTGTAACTATTTTTTATTCATAAATCTCATTCTCAAAAAGTAAGTCATCACAGGTAAGATTCGAACCCACTGTAAAGATTATTATTATGACACCAGATGATGATGCTGGAGACCAAGAGCGGATGGTGTTACTGCCTGAGATAGTAGGAGAGAAGGGTTTTCTACAATCCATTTCCCCTACGTTCCGAGATAGACTCCTCTAAGAAAGGACATGCGCGAGAACCGTTTGAAGGTCTCGGCTGGAGGCAGAGAGCAAAAACGTGTTCTGAGTGTAAGATGGCGATTTAGATTTTATTGTAAATAAAATTAAATATTTATATCTCTAGCCAGACTGTGTTTTCGTACCCAATACGCCAAATCATGTCCTTCGGATTATAAGTGAAACGCTCTATCCATTGCGCTACAGTAGGAATTGAAAAAAAAAATTCTTTTATTTCTTAGACCACAGGATGATTGCGATGGGAACACCATTTGTGAAAAAGAGTGCAGGGAAGAATGCAAAGAGGAGTGTGAAATAAAATGCAAAGAAAAATGCAAAGGCAAATGCAAAAACGAGCCAATAGTGTCTTCTCTTATGGACCAGAATGTACCGAGTAAGGTCCGTATGCTTTAGTTCAAACTTTGTATAATGTATCCTAAATATTTTTAACAGTCTTCTGCATCACATGCCATCTAGGTTTCTATATCTTCTTCATCGCATTCTTGAAATCCTGGGATCGATTGGACAAAGTCGGTAATCTCCTCCCTGTGGTCGTCATTGAAGTCTTTTTCGCCTTCTAAATCTGAAATTCTCCGAATATCTTTGACCTTGGGTTTTCCCGTCACTTTTGGCCTCACGCGAAGTAACTGTTGGACTGAAACACTGTTCGAAAACGTATTCATATACAGTACATGTGGTTGACAAAAAAAAACTGGTCCGCATATTTGACGCTCTGGATAATAAACGTTCGGATAAACGACGTTCTACTGTATATCCTAAATATAAAAAATATTGATCAATTGAAATTATTTTGAAGTAGGAATTCATTACTTTTTATATAGAATGTAGATGCGAGGATATCTGTGGGCTTTTGGACTGCAGAATAGTAGTGCAGTGTCGCCTGTAAGGTGCTCAAAGCTATGGTTAACGACAGGCGTCACTTAGTTCTTTTCCATGATGAATTCCGAGGGTCTCGATCTGGCTTTTGATGGTTAGGTGGCATTAGTAGCAGCAACAATGAAACTCTTTTATGTATGTATATATATATATATATATATATATATATATATATATATATAAGTTAAATTTTCGCAACAAATTATATCAAATTGTTTCAACTTTCTGAAAAAATTGGAGATAATCTCATTAATTAACTATGAAGATTTTCTTAGCTAATAGACGAAAAAAAGACAAATTATTTTTCGAAAGAATAAATAGAGCATACATCAAAGAGTAGAAAAATAAAAGCCTTATAAACGTATTGTTATTGTGGAGATTGTGTCTAAATGTATATAATATTTATTCCGACAAAATAGGCTAGCACATTACAAAAGTAGTTAGACGAATATAATTTGCCCAATGAATTGTTTTGAAAAGGTTAATATATATATACATAGATTAGATTCCCCTTCCTTTATAATTGTCAATACTTATTGTTAATCATTTATCATAAGAAAATTTTGAAGTCTCAAACACGTTTTCAAACAAGTTATTTCTCAGTATCGTCATTTCTGCTTTAATTTTTTGTTGATATTTATCCGTATATTTAATTTATTTAAATAGTTTTAAAAAATGTCATTATAATTAGGCTGCTTCATTCTGTGAAGGACGTCTGAGTCTAGGTCCAAATCATAATCCTAATTCCCCATCGAAACATAATTTGTTATGTAACGAAGAAGGAACCTGGTTTACAGTTCTCAGGAGTCCAGATTTCAAACACGGGAAGTAAGTATACAGATAATTTTCTTCGAATACTATTGTTTTATATATATTTTAGGAAACTTGACAATAGAATGAAGAGACACACTGATTACCTTAACACAGTGCTTCTCAAACTTTCAAAGTTTGCGACCCAATATTCAATCATAATTTTCATCGCGACCCCCTCTCCAAAGAATAACAATGTATTGAATTAAATAGTACTATATTTTGACGCGACTTTAATCTGTTAAGTACCCCCGGCGTAGATAAACGTCTCACTCAGCCAAAACGTTAATTGTCCCGGACGTATATGTATATCTTCCCAAAGTATGATCCTTTCTGTGCACTGCAATACATAAATTCATTCTGAAGGCTTTAGAATGGAATAAAAGGACCGTGACAGTATTTGCGAAGGATTTACTTATTTCGGAGGATTTGCTTATTTATTCCTTTTCTCTTCCCCCCCAATACATCTCATAGGTGTGCTCACGTGGAAAACAGTGGCATTGGGGAGCGAATCGCGGAGCTTTTAATCGGCAGTTAAAGGATTAATTATAAACCGTACAAACTATCAAGATCAATATTAATTTTTGGTTATAATTTTTAACATGACTAGCCCATGGGCTCACTAGTAATTAGTAAACTTTTTCTTAATTCAGTATTGTTAACTTAATTATAAAATACATTGTGTGCAGTACTGATACATTTATAAGTGTATTATATCAGTGTAAATGTGTATTTTATTTTTTATTATGCCAGAATGTACTTTGTTTGTTTTCTCAGTTAATTAATAATTTTTTTAAATAATCTTTTGATTTCGATTTTTCAATATGCTCGAGCCCCTCTCGTGGAGTTATCACGCCCCCCCCAAGGGGGCGCACCCCACAGTTTGAGAAACACTGCCTTAATATATAAAAATACTTTAAAATAGTTTTGATAGAGAAAGCAATTATTCCAATTGTAGAATATAAGAAATGAATAAGTTGAGTCAATACAGGGAGTATATCCGAAAGCCGTGTACAAACTTGGAGGGGAGGTAAAGAACTTCCCGAGGAAAGCATGGGAGGAAACGTAACCTTAATGAGATAAAGAGACATAAAGACGGCAAGGCCACAATACTGAATGTAGTGTAAAACGCTTTATCACAAAAACAAAAGGCAATAATAAATTAAAAGTATGACATTAAAGCCTCCTAAGAGGTGTTTGAAATTGCTGCCTTTGGCATGTATGCACGCCCGACGTCGACGCGACATGGATTGGTGGTCATGTTCGAAAATACCAGTCATTTTGTGGAT